GGGCCCAAAACTTCCTTTCTCTTTTTAATTTTATTTATTTTTCCTTTTAGATTAATTATTATATTAATCTTAAGAGAAATAGTACAAAATAAAAAGTATATATGTATATACGGTGTCCCGTAAATAGAGGAGATTTTTTATAGCAATATTAGCAAACCTTAAGACCTACAAAAAAGTACCTATAAACAATGGGCCAATTCTCAGCAGAAAAGTAGGAAATCCAAGTTTAGTGTTTTTTTAAGTAAGCCATGCTTTTTGATGAATAGGAAGCGATAACTAAAGAAATATTTAATTTAAGTAATTATAAATTATTTCACTGTAAATTAAATACAATTTTCTTAAAGTGAAAATAGAATTTGTCATTGTTAAAACCATTTAAAGAGGACTTTTGAGCGGCTAAACATGGCTAAGTTCTGTTTTAAAAAAATCATAAATTATTGGCGATTTTTTTTTATCAACATCCAACTATACTACAGTTAACCCACTTTTAGAAAAACTACCTAGTTTAATAAGTTTTAAGTTTATATTATTTTTTTTTTTTATTTCTTAATGACATTTACAACTGTATTACATAAATACATCAAGTAAATTTGGACATAATAGATATAATGTCATGAATACACTTGCTGAGTAACTAGCCAATGGTAGCACTCTTTATATTAATTAAATTGAGATTTATTAGTCAATTTCTTGAGATTCATCTCAAGTTGTGTAAAGAAATGTTGTGATTTTTCATCTTGTCACCTAAAAGTACCTGTGTTTTCAACAAATTTGACTACAATTGACTGTTGCAAAGCTTTTATTTCTTGTTTTTCCATGATCTGGGATATGTTATAATAAAAATAATTTTCTAATTTATAAGTAGCATTTTATGTTTATAGTCCTAAGATTTACGTTTTTATGAAAATAATTGAAGCAATCAGTAGGTTTTTTTTGTTCTAAACCTAAATTTTAAGACAAGAACTGTGACTTATAAATACGGGACTATGACAGAAATCTGGGAGAAAAACACAGTTTCGTAAATACTTAAATACATGAAATTATTAAATTATTAAGAAATCATTATTATTATTTGTTATTTATAGATAAAACTTATATTTATACAATTATATTTATTAAAATAAATTCCAGATCATGAAAAAACAATAAATAAAAGCTTTTCAATAGTTGATTGTAGTCATATTTGCTGCAAACACGAGCACTATTAGGTGACTGGAAAGAAGTTGTTTACAGAGCTTGAGGTGAATTTCAAGAATTTGCCTAATCAACTTCAATTTAATTAATACGGACTTGAAGCTTATTATACTAAATTTTTTTTATAAAAGTGGGGTATCTGTAATATATTTGGATAATGATAAAAAAAAAAAAAAAAAAAAAAAAAATCGCAATTATTTATGATTTTTTTAAAAACAGATCTTAGCCAAGTTTAGCCGCTCAAAAGTCCCCTTTAAATGGTTTTAACAATGACAAATTCTATTTTAATTTGAAGAAAATTTTATCTAGTTTCCAGTGAAGTAATTTTTAATTACTTAAATTAAATATTTCTGCAGTTATCGCTTCATAATAAAAAAGGATGACTTACTTAAAAAAAAAACACTAAACTTGGATTTCCTACTTTTCTGCTGATAATTGGCCTATTATTTATATGAACTTTTTTGTTGGCCTTGAGGTCTGCTATCACTCCTATAAAAATTTCTCTCTACATACGGGGCAAAATATATATATATATATATATATATATATATATATATATATATATATATATATATATATATATATATATATATATTACAAATTGTGAATTTTATTTTTATCTAATCTTAATTTGAAATAATTACCCTAAATGACACAAATTATATTATTATAAAAATATTATAACAAATTTTAATCACAAAAAAGGCCTGTAATTTGAAATAGCTTTATCAAATTATTAAAACTCGTCAAGAACTTAGTGAATGGCTTAATTTTACCGTAATCTAAATATTTTTAATATACGTAAATTCACGGAAATGGTACGTTTTCAATCTGGAGATGGCTAAACTTTGACAATTTAATGAGATACTAAAAACTCATTAAATTAAATTAAATGGACGTTATTTTGACTTGTTGTGGGTGAAGGTCACCTCAAAAGGTCCAATATTTTTTTAGTCTACCTTTTTTCTCGTATTTGTGATAAAATTATCTTGCAATAAAAGTGAAAAGCAAGTGGTATTAATGAGTTTCATGTATCTCATTAAATTATTTTATTCAATCAGAAAAAGCTCCATTTCTGATAATTTTCGTAGATAATACTTAAACATCGTAGAAATTGTAGGTTATGATAAAATAAAGCCTATCACGAAGTTTAAGACGAATGTTAATAATTTGATAAAAAGGGATCTGTGGCGTGTACTAAAATTAGATTTCAATCATTTCAGAACATTTCTGCCGAAAATGATACTACCTGCCTAAAAAATGAGCTAAATTAACAGATTTTTTTTTTTAAATCCTTATCGGAACAGTTATCTTCAAATTACCCCATTTATATTACTCATTAATTCCTTCAGATAACCACGAATTATTCATGCCAGGGTAATAATTTAAAACATTTATATGGATAATGCGTTGAGATGACGTGTATTCATTAATTAATAATATTCAAAGAAAATAACAAATACTATTCACTTTTTATTCTAATTTTATTGTTATTTTAATTCTTAACATGAGTACTAAAACTACAAGTCGACTAGATCTTTGTCTTTAGTTTTTTTTTTCCTTCTCATAACCATTTCAATTAATGTAATTTCTACTTATTTAACTGCTTGTGTAGGATTTTTTAAATTATCAAAAAAAAAATTAAAAAACCTTCAATGTCTAACTACATTTACGATGTTCCTTGTTTAAAAAAAGTTATCCTTTTCAAACTTAACATAGTCTCTAGCTTCCCAAATACCAGTAAATAACTAAGCAGTCAACGTTTGTCCAATTCAGGCATTTTTTTTTTTGTAATTTGAAAATTCTTTATTGAGATATTTCACAATCTGTCACATCTAAGGACAATACTAATAGTGATAAAAGAGTAGCTCATTCGCACTATTTACAATAAGTAAACAGCAAAATAATAATACTAAAATTAAATGTATATAAACTAAAAGAAATTAGACTAATCAAAATAACTACTTAAATACACACATGCTTTTACAAAATTCATTCACTCAAGATCTCTGAGCCAAGCCTTTCCCCTCACTCATGGAAGGAAAAGCAGGACTCTAAAAGATCCCAGCGCCGCTCACTCAGCCCCATTACTGGTATTAATGACCACTGGAAGCTGAGCACAGTGATTCAGCCATTAAGACAGAAAAAGATAAGAACGCATACTTACATCTACTGTACTATGTAAATGTTGAATTATTGGGGAGATGGTGAATTGAATTATCTCTATTGAGTTAACCCTTTTTAGGCTTTTCATGTGTTAATAATGTGCAGCCTGCAGCATTATTGTGACCTTATGTTTTTTCTGTTCTGTTGACTGGTACCATTGAATTGGGAGGGTTACTCTTTACCAAAGTTTGCAATTCTTGTGATAATCTGCGTATTTTATCAACTTGCAGGGATGAGGTAAATTTGAAATGAATAGCTCCGCTTCCTTAAAGTATAGAAGAAATAATCCTTAGCTTATGCTGAGTTGATATTTAAGAACTTTATTTTTATTTATTTTTTAAAAAGTGGAACAATGTTTAGAGATTGGTTAGGAGACTTGGCACTAATTAAACTTATTAAAGACTTATGGATTAAAAAACTGTTGCAATTAAACTTCCCATAAAAGAAAAAAAAACATTAAAAGCATGTTTTGAGAAAAAATGTTTAAATATTATTTGAGAAAGATTTATTTATTTATTATTGAATTTAAACTGGTATATATATATATATATATATATATATATATATATATATATATATGAAACGTGTTCGTGCTACCAATTCTTCATGATAATTTAAGAGCTTCACTAATTTATTTTTTAAAAAATCTTAATTTTTCGTTCAAGCTGATTGCGAAATGGACCAAAATTGCTTGCAATTGTTTGAAACGTCGTAACAACTATGTATATTTTTGAAAACCGATGTTTCAGCTGTATTAGGTTCCACTAGAAGTACCTAATTCTGCCCAGAACATCCCGTTAGGTTTGAACAAAAAATACCAGCAAATCAGCTCTAAACATAAAAAAAGATGAATTTATTTCTTGTCACATCATGGCATTATTAATGCGACAATCAATTCAACGATTGCTGGGCATGACGGGGAAGAGATATTAGTTTGCCACTGATGCAGTCAAATTTGTTAATTTTAACTTCTGTTTTTTCTCCCAATGTCCAGCAGTAGCTCGCCCCAGTGTTCGCCGGGTCATATCGCGTTTTGTGTGTTGTAGCCTTTAAGGAGGAAAGTATCTCATTTCGATGATATTTAGAAGGCTTTAGACTTCCTTTTGAAATCTTCTGTTTATATATTGTTTGTTTTTTTTTTCTAAAATCGTATCAAAAATTCATTCCCTGAACTCTCCAGCTCAGACATACCTAAGGGTCATATTAAATTTAGTTAAAAAGTGAACGAAATACTATCACATTAAATCATATATACGTAAATGAAAACATTATTTTTATTACACTTTTCAGGTTTTGTTTCTAATTATCGTATTTCGTTCTTCGATTTCCTTGCTTATACAACGATTTATGCCATTGAAAGTTTCTAATATAAATTAATAAAAAGTTTTGTAAAAAATATGCAGTGTATAATAAAAAATTAGGAATTGATTGCACCCACATTTTATTTTGATCTATGAGTATTTTATTATATTTGTTTTAATACTTTTTTATTTTAATCGGGTTAAAATAAATCATCCCTAAAGATAACAAACAGTTGAGTATGCATGAACCTAATAAGTTTTTATAAGATAATTATTGGTTTTCATTTACTACTACAGTGATATCTAACCTTAATGTAATAAATTTTTTCTGTTCTAGCAATGAGCCAGAAAGGAATGGAGTGGCCAGGTTTGAGCGCCGCGCTCGCTGGCTTCCTTCCACTCCGACCGGATATGAGGCACCTGGTCCCCGGAGCAGAAGGTCTCATCTACACACCTACACCTTACAAGTACTCCTATATCAACCAAAAAAGTAAGTTACTTCAAATGAACATTAGATGATACATTACATAAACACCTCCAACATGGCGTCAAAACGTGCCACTCTTGGTAAGGGGACCACGGGTGGATCCAAAGGTAGGCTTGCGGGGTGAAGCCTCCCCGAAATAGGAAAAATCTCGTGTTAGCGGCGCCAGTTCGAATCCGACTTTAGTGTATTGAAATATATTTCGTGGCGAACCCACGGCTTGAATCTCCACCTTCTCACTTTTCTTAGAATAGGTTTGGTCGTACCTCTAAAATCCCGTATGCCCTAAAAATCTTCTATTATCTATAAATTCCATATCCCGTAAAATAAAAACCTAAATACTAAAATTATCACAACTTTTCAAGCATAAAACCCATTTATCCTTATCCTTGTACTTAGTCCTCAAATTCTACCTCCCCAATCGTTCCTTCCGAGTACGCTGTGGCTCAGATTTTTTTTATTGTTACCCAGTCGAGGCTGGTATCCCACAAGGCAGTGTCTTGGGTCATAATCTCTACATTCTTTTCACTGCAGATATCCCTTCAGATTCCTAGCAACATTTGCTGATGATACCGCCATCCTTTCCTCCCACTCAGAGCCCGAAATAAAACATCCCAACCTAGAAAAACACCTCTCACCGATTGAGCAGTGGTGCATCAATTGGCGCATCAAAATTAATGAATCAAAATGTAAACAAGTCACCTTCACCCTCCATCGCAGATCCTGTCCGCCAATCCTATTTAACTCTACTCCACTTCCCATTCCAGACACTGTCCGGTATCTTGGCTTCCTTTTAGACAAAAGACTGACTTGGAACCCACACACAAGACTTAAAAGACAAGAACTAAACCGATAATTCGGCCAGTTATACATATTATTAAACAGCACATCTCATCTTACAATTGAAAACAAATTATTAATCTACAAGACCATACTGAAACCTATCTGGACTTACAGGCTTGAACTGTGGGAGAAAGCTAAATTTACCAATATCAAATGTATCCAATCATTCTCATCTAAAGTACTCAGAACAATAGTCAATGCTCCTTATTATGTTACAAACAAGACCTTACACCATGACCTTAACATCCCATATGTCCTTGAGGTTATCCCATCTAGATTTGTTGATACGGGCCGGCAGTGGCCCCGAGACCTTTTGTAAACATTCTTTTGGAGCCCTGGCCTTGGAGGCCTTGTCCACTTAAGTCCTGATCGTCTGTGGATCCAGTACCCTCCTTCCACTGGCTTCTAATACCAGTTACGCGACTGGAAGAGAAGCATTGGGAACTTTTGAGTCTTGCTTTGTTTCCCACATGTGGAGCACAAAGCTTGGCTCGGAAATGCAGATATTATATAATAGGTATGCATGTGTATATAAAGATTACTTTTATTGATTTATATATATTTTTTTATTATTCATATTTGTTTCCTGTTTTTTTTTGTTTTCTTTTTTTATATATTGTATTAATGAACTCTTGTAGCACTAATACTTGTCGCCCCTTCATGAGGCAGATTGTATTATCATTCAATAAACTATAAAAAAATAAAAAAACTATCACAATATGCACTCTTTTTTAAAGTATAACGCATATAGAGCTAATAAATGTATAAAGAAAAAATATATAAAAAAATGATCCCTGAGAGCATTACTGCTCATTTTATATATTTTCTTCCAGAGTGATTACCATTAATAAGAAAAAAAAATTAAATATGGAATCCGTTATTGTAATGGACTGATACTTCATTGTTTTCCAAACATTAACTTCCCATTTATCTACTATATGGCTGCAGACTTCCATAGATAAGAGTTTAACTGAATAAGAACGGATTATATTTGACATGTGGACATTTGGATGTTCATCCATTGGAGTCAAGAGAATCAGTCTAAGAGTAATACGGATAAAAATTAACACTGTCCTGTAATTACAATTACAAATAATTTTTCTGATTACAATTAGCTTTCATCAGAAGTCTGTAAGAGCCCATTGGCATAACCTTCAGTTATGGGATGTCCTTGCGATATTGATAGCACGGCATCCACAAACGTGGCAATTCTGTGTTTTTTTTTATGTTTTTGTCATGTGACAAACCTAAGGTGACCAAATTTTACACTGGTAAAGCGGGACACCATTCCATTGAACGGGAGAAGGCGAGGTTCTTCATTAAAATTTGGTTCATTAAGTCCATACAATAATTTTTTAGTCCATAGTAAATTTTTTTATTACAATAATTAATTTTACATAATGATAATCTGCTGCAAATGTTAATCAGATTACATAGTATTTATCTGAAAAACTATACCTCATTAAAAATAAATGTTCGTGTTGTTTATTATCATTAAGTCCAACAATGGTGGTCGAAATCTAACAATTGATCAGCAATCCGAACTTTGCTGAGCAGTTCTCTATAATCAATTTCTTAACATTCGTTATTATTAAAGTTTAACATCATGAAATCACCAAAAATAATATAAAACTAATATCCTGGGTAAATAGCTACGTGGTTGTCAAAAATCGTATATTCTCTTCCCGTTTTCCTGCCGTTCCCTAGAGCTTGTCGTTCATTCTTTCCAAAAATCGGGACCTTTTGAAAACGCCGCGGGACGCAGGACAAATTGTTAAAAAAATATTGGACGTCTGGTCACCTTAGACAGGCCTGTTTATTTAATTATCGTACTATTTACTAATCCTTTGACTATCGTGTTCATGATGGAAAAATAGATGTTTGTAGCCTGAGCTTACTTTTTGGAATTGAAATTACTGATTTGAACTTTATTAAATGTTTCGCACTTGTACATCCTTAGTATATTGCTCACCCACCTGTTATATATTATAGTATATTATATATTGCTTGTTTCTTTGACTATAAAGTATTTGACTACATTTTTTACTAATTTTTTCTCTTACTTTATAAGGAAGAGATTTCGAATATGAATTAAAATCCGTCAATAAACGTCAAATTTAGACTTGAGCCATGAATATCTGCTGCTATGAAAGGAGAAAATCATTGAAATTGGTAAAGGTCACTGTTTTATTTCTAGATGTAAATATTCTGAATGTACATAGTACCCTCAGAAAAGTCGATCACCTCCCCAATATACAACAAACTGATATAGGAATATATTGATTATTCATTTTTTATTTTTATTATAAAACATGTTAAGCTGGTATCCTTTTAAACAAGTCTCAATGATCTTTAAAATACAGTCATCAATAAAAAAAAATAAATTGTTTCAAACCATCATTCTCATATATTATTTTCATTTGATTTTTATTTCTTGATTATATCATTTGTTTAACTAAACATTATTCTATGTTATTAAATAGATTTTGATTTATACATTGGATTTATACATTTATACATAATACATTTATCATTTTTTGTCCTGTCATCTGGCTTTAATTATTCCTCTTGGTGTCTTGCCAAAAACTATGGAATTCATGATTGTACATAACTTTCCATCTTGTCTTCATATGGTAAAATATTGATTAATAAGATTACGTAAGTAATTTATGTTTTTTCTCCTATTTGTTTTTATAAATGATCTATTGAGTTATTATGAATTATTTTATCCAAATCCCTGAAAATCAATTTTTTCTACCATAAAATAGAACTAGTTTTGAACATCATTAAATCCTCCAATATAATTTATTTAGTTTATCAAAGTTTGGCACCATCGAACCTTAATTATGTTTGCTCAAATATAATTATGTTTAATTAAACCTTAATTATGTTTGCTCAAATATACATATATTTACTTGAATATTGATGGAATGGTGTAGCAGTGTTGCAAATGCATTCTGAATAATTCCTGTAATTTTATAATGAAGACGAAAAAACTGATATGTGGTGACATTTGTGTTCCCAGGCAATAAAGTTGTGATCCCTCTCCACCCAAAAAATGTAATTTAATAGAAGAAAATGTGACAAATGTGAAGGACGTTGAATATTATTTCTCTATTTAATTTTAGTTCTCTTTCATTCTGTAGTATGTCATTTACCAATCAAGTATAAAATTTTAAAAACAGCATTTAACTTTAATTTTAATCATAGTTTATTACTAATTAAAGTGCTTGTTTGTTTTATTTTTTGTCTTCATAGTATTTATTTTTCAAGCATTTTCTGGGGAGGGGAGGGGGGGGAGGAGAAAGAGCTGGCCTTAGAACCCCTTAAAGACATCTTCAAACATCCGTGTATATCAGTAGTTAGGAGATTTCAAACTTCAATTTATCAAATAATTTCAAAAGAACACCTTTTTTATTATGCTATGCCTTTATGTCAGTAACAAAAAACATTTTTCAGAAATTTAAACATTAGTGCCTCTTACAATTAAATAAGATTATAAAGCTATGAACAGATTTATTAAACAGTTTTTTTTTTATTGAATAGTAAATAATACAATCTGCTACATTGAAGAGCAATAATTATTAATGCTACAAGTTTTCATTCATTCCATATATGCATATAAGGAAATAATATGAATAATTAAAAAAATATATATATATGTTAAAATTTTATTTTGCATTGTAGTTATTGAATATTCAATCATCTGTATAATTTTTAAATTACCATAGTTATATGTTTAAAAAGTAGGATTACAGAAGTTAAGAATACTGAACTAGCAGTGCAACCACTACAGAATCAAATCATAGATAAAATGTTGAAGGAAAAAACAAAAATAATTAATATTTAAGCTATGTTCTTCTTTATTAAACAGTAGTAAGAAGTGCCCATTTTATTTTATTTGTTGAAATATGTTACAGGTTGATTATGCTCACTAGCCAACCTGTTCAAAATAATTCCCATGTTTGATTGTAGAAAATTACAATAAGAGTTTTTATGCAATCGAATAATTATTAATAAAATACTATACTTTTTAACAAAACGCCTACTTAAAATTAAAAACAGTTTAATTGAGTAAGAAAATGTTTATACAAAAGAAATCCATTTGATTATCATTATTTAATAAATATGAGGTAGGATGTCTTTTGTATTGAAGATACAGTAAATCTAGAGTTTAAAAACATTAAATGTTAAGTTGAAATAAAAAATAAAATAATTATGAAAATATGAATACATAAATAAAATAACAAAAATCTTTATTGTAAAAAAGTATATTAATCAACAAGCCCATGATAAAAAAAGAAATAGTACTTGGGCCTGTAATGATTTTATTTATTATTACCTTGAAAACCATTTCAAAAAAAAAAAAAAATTATTTAAGCTTATAATGTTTTTAAAGATATTTGTGGAAACTTAAACAGGATAGTTTCATTAAGTATTTTTTTATGATAATATTTGTAACAGCATTATAAAATTAGTGAATGTTTATTATAACACCATATTTTGTGGAGAAGAAAGAGGCCACATATCTGCAATCTGCCCTGGGCATAAGAAACCTATGATGGCATCACTGTAGAGATTATTATAAATAAATAAAATCAGCTACTTATCATTTCTAAAATAAACTATATCTCAGTCTAGGTATTTCCCAGTACAATTGATGTGCATTGAACTGAACTGATTAGCATTGTTTTTCTTTGAGAATTTTTTTTATTTCAAAGGCATCGGAAATGGGGATCGATTCAGAAAGGAGGAATTTTTTTAATTCTTTTTTTTTTTTATTATTATAAAAATTTACAACTCTATTAAATGATAAATACAACAAGTAAATATGAACAAGTAATGTGACATGTACAACATGAAGAGAAACTACCCATTGGTAGCACTCCTATAGTTATATTTCTATATTAGAAGGCCCTGAGGCCATCTTCTTTTCAGACGCCTCGGAGGGTTATCAGGAATAGAAGAGGAAGCAAGGTTGGAAACAAGAGGGTTCGGATGGTTCAGAAGTTTATTATGAAAGGACAGGTATCTGGATTGAGCTAAATCAGAAACATATGGTACATTAAGGTCATTATGGATGATTTTAATTGTGACAAAGTACGGGGCATTAAGGATTTTACGAAGGATTTTGGATTGTAGGGATTGGATATAAGAGGAATTTGATGGTTTAGTAGAGCCCCAAAGCTCGATCCCATAAGTCCAAATAGGCCTTTAAATTCTGGAGTTTAAATTCTATGACAATTTATTATGAACTAACACAGTCACATTCTTGTTATATGTTTTCATTTAAACACTTTTATTTGTATGGTTTTTCTCTGCTATTTCTGAATTTTATTTTACATTTCCCCAGGCATATAGGTATGGTTTTTATTTTAAATTTCAGGGAACTATATTTTGTTTGCTCCCCATTTAACTAGTTTTCACATATGGCTAACCCACTCATCCATTTCCATAAAAAAATAAATCTCAAGGTGCCAATAAACTTAAATTGAGTATAAGGTAGGATGTCATAATATTCTTATGATTTGTCTTCTATTACATTTTGAGGTATTGAATATTTTTTTAATTAAATTTATTTCAGGTTTCGCTCTTGCTCTCGTTTTTGCAATAAGTGCAGGTTTGTCTGCATTGATGTGGCTCACAAGCGCGTATGATAATGCTATACTAAAGGTGAGTTTAAATATTCCTTACATTAATCATACAAAGCAGATTAATTAGTATAATAAATGTTCAAGGCAAAATGCAATAAAATAAATATTTAACATTAATTGCCTATTAACTTATGATCTTAATTATACATTTGCTTTAAGTAGGATATAGGTTAGAAAACTTCTTTTCTTTTGTGTGATAAAATTTCTGATACTAAATCTTTACTTATGGAGGTACAGTGTGCACCTGGGTCATGAACTCAAAATGGTCTTAAGAACTAAACTTTAATCTTTATTTATTAGTTTCCATTTTTGACCTTTTTTCATTAATTATCTTCTCAGTACTTTTTACCTCTGGGTCGAATGCAATAAAATAATCACACTCAGTTTGTTGCTTATTCTTTATTAATATGTACATTTCAGGAAATCTTTATCCCCAATCTTTGTCAAATATTTGCTGAGTTTTAACCATAGTCCAAGCTATTGATAAATTGGACACCCATTTATATGCTGGGGCATATGCTGAAGAGGGGGGGGGGTGGACAAAGATTCCCTAAAGCAACAAAGAATAATCAACAAACTGAGTGTGATTATTTTAATGAATTTCACCTATAGGCAAAAAGTAGGAAGAAAATCTTTGTTCATTATTTCAAAAAAGATAATTATGTTGGTGTTTTTAATTAGTCAAAATAACTTTGTTAAACTAATAGTAAATTAAATTTTATGTTTTTTTTTAAATTGTTTTTATTTATTATTTTAAATAAATAGTCAGCTAGTACATAGTCAATAATTAAAATTCTGTAATAGTTTTTTTTTTTTTTTTTATTTCAATGGAATTTACAACTGTATTACATAGAGAATACAATAAGTAAATGAGAAATTTGTAACATGGCATGTGCAACATGAAGAGAAACTACCCATTGGTAGAACTCAATCTGTAATAGTAAATGTAAAATATCACAAATATTTTTACTTTAAACTGCCACATGTTTTACACTTCTGGTGAACATGTACCATACCTAAGTTCAGCATAATGTATAAATATATATATATATATATATATATATATATATATATATATTCTGCTTTCAAGTTGTTTTGACAAAGACAAACTTTACTTGTATTTGAAAAAATTTTATCTAGTTTTCAACAAAGAAATTTTTAATTGCCTGAATTAAATAATTTTTGTGTTATCAATATTCCCTATGTAAGAGAAAACGTGGTGACCACCTTAAGAAAAGACAAAACTGGTCTGAGCTCCTTTTTCCCTTCGGAATCGGCCGATGCATTAATAACTTAATAGTCATGTATCAAATGAAATTTTTTGTTGGAAATTTTCTCTAGTAAAATTTTGTAATGCGATTAATAAGTATGCTTTGAAATGTTGCTTGCCAATGTATTTAAGTAGAATTTCTTTATGTATGAAGTATTACTTTTTGTTTCAGTTAGTTTCAATAAGAGATGATATAGACACTGTTTTTGAAAACTGGCGGTACCCACCTACAAAACCAAGGCTTTTTGTTTATATTTTCAACTATACCAATTCTGAAAAGTTTCTAGAAGGAAAGGAGATGCCAAAGGTTCAAGAAATGGGGCCTTATGTTTTCAGGTATGAAGATCAACACATTTAGTTTGTATTTTTAATGGCTTAACTACCTAATTTTTAAAAATTTAAAATGATAATGTGTATCTTGGTATTAATGTTATTTTAGTATTGACATGTTTTGATTAGAGTATTTGTAAATTCCTAATTACTAACATGTCATAATCTTCTCATTTTAGATTTCTAATTTTTGATAATTTGTTTTTTATTTTAAATATTGTTTTAAAAGTTAGTTTGTGGATTTATATGAAACAAATTAACAGAAAAACAAGAATTTTTAGCTGTAAAGAATTCTAATTTTTTTTCTAAGCTTCTTCACCCATTGCAGATAATAATGACAGGCTTTCAGTAAATGATATGAATGGTAGGCTTTTAAGAAGATAAATAATTCTATTCACTTTATTAATCAAGTATATTTGTCTGATACCCAACGTATTAAATGAGGTTAGATCACAATATATATATAATCCACAAACTAACTTTTAAAACAATATTTCAAATAAAAAACAAATTATCAAAAATTAGAAATCTAAAATACGAAGATTATGATATGTTAGTAATTAGGAACTTACAAATACTCTAATCAAAACATGTTAATACTAAAATAACATTAATACCAAGATACACATCATAAAATATATATATATTTTTTTTCGGGTACCTACAATTATTTAGGATTAGTGTAACTTTAAGTTTATCTATTTCTAGAATGATATTATTGATTATAATAGAAGATGGAAGGATGGAATTAATTTAATTTCAGAATAAATAATTCCTGTGCTAACTTAAAAAAATGTGAAATCATTTTTCTTATAAAAAAGTTTATGAAAATTATACTGTTTTTCAGTGAAGAGATGGAAAGGATAAACGTTGTATTTAATCCAAATAGCACTGTGACATTCCAAGAAGTAAAGAGGATTGAACCACTACCCAATGAATCAAACGGAACCTTTAATGATATGGTATGGGTACCAAATATACCATATTTGGTAAGTACAACTAAATAAAATTGGTGGTGTTGGCATCAAACCTTCGGGTTTGCAAAGCCTTTTATTATTACAACTAAATAAATTAAAATAAATTGACTAAATTATTGAACTTATTTATAGAATTTCTTTTCACTCCTTTAAATATACATAGAACTATAAGATCTACAACTTTTAATGATATTACTCGCATGCCCTTGAAATCACTCTCTCTCTCTCTCTCTCTCTCTCTCTCTCTATATATATATATATATATATATATATATATATATATATATATATATATATATATACACACACACTCATTTACAAATGAAGTGGATCCTTTCATTAAATCCCAATGGGTTAATTCATTTGAAATAAACTCTTAAACATAAACAAAAGAGAGGCTCCTCAGTTTAGTTTGTTTATAGGTTGTGTTCACTTAATTTTATTTCTCATAAATCTATTTTTTTTTCACTAATCGTTTTTAATAGTTTAACTAACCCTTTTTAGTAGTTCTTCAAAATATCAAAGAATGTTTGCACAACAGCTTGCAAGAATATTTTACAGCAGTATAGCTTGCTGCTTTTGAAGGAGGCTTATACTTAACACAATTTATATAAGTTTATATAAAATATTAAAGAAATTGCAACAGATGGATTCAAAAATAGTATTTTATAAATAGAGCTGTACAAAATTATCCTAAATAATAATATGGATTATTTGGAGTATAGTTGTTTTGAAGAATTCACTTAAACTATCATACCACATAAATGCCTATTACATTATCAAGATATTAAATAAAAAGTGAGCAACACAACACCATCACAAAGGAAGTATTCTCCCTTATTTTTGTTAGGAAAATAGATGTAAATTTGTTACATTAATGTTCACCTGAAACAATTAAATAGAATTTTTAAGTCAATAGAACTGTTGAATCTCTTTCTCGTGCTTTGTTTTAACATTTTCATAATTTGTTTCTGAATTTAATTTATCAAATGGCGGGGGTGGAGGAAAAAGGTTACAATGAAACTTTTCTCACATCAACTCAATTCATAGACAAATTGTTTATCCTATAAATCAATTTGGAGGGGTTATAGCAGATTGCAAAGCCTTCAAAACCGGGAAATAAGTTCAAAAAAATAAAAGGGGTGAAAGGAATAAGTCTAGATTCACAAATAAACTACCTTTTAGGAGTCTAGACTTTATGTATATATTTTTTTTTTATCTGTTAGCATCACAGACCTTGTAGATCTTTCGCCGCCTTAACAAGCTTGCTTCATTTCTGCCTATATTGGGCTATTTCTTTCCGGTTATCTGCATGCAGTTCTCTCTCTCCTCTCTCTCTCTCTCTCTCTCTCTCTCTCTCTCTATATATATATATATATATATATATATATATATATATATATATATATATATGTGTATGTATATGCATGTGTGTGTGTATAACGACCTTCAGCGAAGTGCACAAGTCTATTATTTTTAGAAGATATAGGACTAAAAAGAGGCTTTTTAAATATTAAAAAGCAAAAATTGAGAACAAGGTTCTAAATTTAAAATATAAACGTGTTTATATCTATACCACCCTATATTCTTCACCTTATCACCATACTTTCATTGATACCACCTCTTTAATATGAAATTTCAACCTTGCAATTTGCAAATCCATTCTCACATAACAGCTTTCTTTGAAAAATCCATTTTGATTTGTGCTATATTGTTTTCAAATTCCCTACCCAACTTCATGCACAAGGTTTCCTTACTAGCCTCATTCAAGCTCGGTCTATTTCTCCATCTCCTTAACCATCGATCTTCTGTGTTTGTGTGTGTGTTCTCATATATATTCATTTTTTATTTTCATTATTATTAGTACAAATGTATTTTTTATCCATTCATTTGTCTTTAATTTATAATTTAATTTATTCTCTATCAACACAGCTAGACAAATGATGTTTAATTGTACTATTTTGTTATTCTTAGAGGACTAAATGTTCCAGAATAGAGATAAGTGTAATAAGAGAAAAACATTCCTTTCTTTCGTACTATATTATTAACATATAATCTTATTTTTCAGACAATTGTAAATGTTGCTTCTTCAGCAGATTATGCTGTTCAGACAGTATTTTCTGTGTTTGGTTCGTCATCAAAAGTAACACCATTTCTAAATGTTAGTGTAAATGACTTTATTTGGGGTATCAGAGATAATTTTTTTGAATCATTAAGAAAAATGAAGCAGTTTTTTGGAGATGAGTCCTTGAAACCTTTTGGTTTTCTGGCGAAAGTAAGTACAAAGAATATAATTTGGTTTTGCTTGACAAGAATAGGACACTATTAAAATTGCTTATAAAACTATACTCTCTTCTCTCTCTCTCTCTCTCTCTATATATATATATATATATATATATATATATATATATATATATATTTCCTAAATAGTTTCTTAATTTTGTCAACCAATATATAAATTATATTATATTATATATATATATATATATATATATATATATATATATATATATATATATATATATATAAATATATATATTTCCTAACTAGTTTCTTAATCAAAACCTAAGTTTATTCTTTATATATATATATATATATATATATATATATATATATATATATATACATGCAATATTATTACCATTATGATATTTAGCTTTATTATAGCTTTAATATTTAATTCAACATTTTAATTTAGCGAAAAGGTTTTCATCCAGACATAATTACAATGAACACTGGAAATAGAGATCTAGATACAGTTGGAATAATAACTCGTTGGAATGGTGCTTCTAAAATTGGAAAATGGGGAAATACTACTTGTGACAGCATGGAATCAACTGATGGCTCAATGTTTCCTGGTCGATTAGTCATGCGAGGAGAACCTTTATATGTTTATGCTCACAGCATGTGTCGTAGAATACCTCTTCGTTTTAACAGAACAACATTGGTAAATTTTTACTACCTAATCAACATTTTAGTTTTTTAAACATCTTATTATGACCTGTTGATCAAGTTATAACTTTTTTAAATTCTATTATTTATTCATTTTAAATTTAATTGTAGTCTATAAATATACCTACCAAAATCTTTCTACTTATTTTTTTTATGTTATAAAAATTGGTGTCAAAATCTATGCAAAGCATTATTGCATTATAAGGTAGCAGTAAAAACAAAACAAAAAAATTACATCAACTCAATTTTACTTTTTTTCTTTATTTTCAACTAATACCAATTAATTCTTATTAAACCTCATTGTTTTAATCAATTATGATATTATTTTTAAGTATGTTTACTCCCCTTCCTCCTCTCTCATTCTCTCTCCCCCTCTCTCTCTCTCTCTCTCTCTCTCTTTATATACATATATATATATATATATATATATATATATATATATATATATATATATATATATATATATATATATATATATATACATATATATATATAGTGTGTCCCGTAAGTTGAAGGAAATTTTTATAGGAGAGATAGCAGACCTCAAGAGCTACAAAAAATGTTGTATCAATAATGAGCTAATTTTAAGCAGAAACGGAGTAAATTTAATATGTGTGTTCTTATAAGTGAATCACATTTTTTGTTAAATAGGAAGCGATAACATAAAAAATATTTGATTCAAGTAATTAAACATTGCTTTGCAGGTAACTAGACAAAATTTACTTTAAAGGAAAGTAGAGTTTGTCATTGTTAAAACTATTTAGAAAGGACTATTGAGCGGCCAAACACAGCTAAGTTCCTTTTGAAAAAAAGTCATAAATTATTTATCATTTTATTATCACCCTTTAACTGTCCTATAGTTACCCTACTTTTAGAAAAACTTCCTCGTTTAATAAGCTTCAAGTCTATATTAATTAACTTGAGGTTTGTTGTGTAAAGAAATGATGGGATTTTCCAAAAAGTACCCGTGTTTTCTGCAAAAATTACTACAATTAACTGTTGTAAAGCTTTTTTTTTTTATTGTTTTTCCTGTGCTATGGGGTAAATTTTAATAAAAATAATTGCCTAAAAACACATTTTATTTTTTTAAATAAAAATTTTAAAAACAAAGATTTTTCATGTTAAGAGATTATGAAATTGTGTTTTTCTCCAAGATTTATGTCATAGAAATTGATACGTATCTATATGTGACAAACCTAATGTCTGTTACAGAAAAACAAGAAATAAAAGCTTTGCAACAGTTAATTGTAGTCAAATTCATTGAAAACGAAGGTTCTTTAAGGTGACAAAATGAAAAATCACAACATTTCTTTACACAACTTGAGATGAATCTCAAGAATTTGCCTAATAAATCTCAATTTAATTAATATAAACTTAAACCTTATTACACAAGGTACTTTTTCTAAAAGTGGGGTAAATGTAGTACTGTTAAAGGGTGACAAAAAAGAAATACAAATAATTTATGACTTTTGTTTAACAAAACTTAGCTGTGCTGTCTGCCCAATAGTCCTCTTTAAATAGTTTTAACAATGACAAACTCTACTTTACTTTAAAGTAAATTTTGTTTAGTTTACTATGGAGCAATGTTTAGTTACTTAAACCAAATATTTCTTATGTTATCACATCAACGAAAAACATGATTAACTTAAAAAAAAAACACAATTCTTAAATTTTCTACTTTTCTGCTAGAAATTGGGCAATTGTTTATATAAACTTTTTTTTGTAGATATTGATCTCTACTATCAGTCTTTTAAACATTTCTCTCTACTTTTTTAATGTGAATCAATTATTCATAATTTTCAGAGTAAGGATGGTTTTCCAGTTCAGCAATATAATGTAGCTGAAGATATGTTTGACTACAGTATTCCTGAAAATTCATGTTTTGATTATAATGGAAAATATCCAATGAAAGGAGTATTTAGTAATGCACCTTGTCAAAATGGTGAGTTTTACAATTATAATGGAATAAAATAGAATATAAAATAAACTTCATTATGGGACTAAGTCCCCTAAGAATAAAAATGATAGTATAGTACAAATAGATTAAATACTATACTGGTCAAAAACAACATAAACAAAGTTCAATGAGGTTATTTGTATTGGTTATATGTGTCAACTTTTTAATAATAAAAAGTTAACATATATAAGTTACAAAATAAAATCAACTCTAGATAAATATGGCTGAAATGAAATGAACAAATAAAATAAAATAATGAAATTAATAAAGGAAAGAAAAAGAAAGAGAAAAAAACTGAAAACTTAGAATTGACACTTAAGGTTAAAAATTATTGAAACTATCATTCACTTCAAATCAATTTTATTCTTAAATTAAAATTGGATTGGAGAGTGTCTGTTGGGGATTTGAGAAGATTATGGGAAAGGAGGGATTTGAATGAAGATAGAGAAGTGGTATGGGGTATATTGGCTGGTAAGGAATTCCAGAAAGTAGTGGAACAGGCAAGAAAGGAGTGTTAAAAGGTTTTGGTTCTATGTTAAGGGATATATAGGTCAGAAACATCTTGTTTTCTTTGAATGGAACAAGGGTTTAAAATTCACAAGACTGTAGGAAGATGTAGGAAGGATGCTGGGAACTAATAAATTGGTATAGGAAAGACTCAAGGAAATATTGTCAATGGAAGTAAGGAAAGAGCCAATTTAACCTGCCTAAACGGTAAAACACATGAGACCACCTTGACAAATTTTAGAGCTCAGTTCATGATTAGTTTTAATCTGTTCTTCAGTACAAGCAAAAGGTCATTATATACCACACAGCCATAGTCATAATGGGCGAAAATGAGAGTAAACTAAAAGCTATAGGTTGTGGAATAAGATGACGGGAACAATGAAATAACTTAAGTATGCTTGTTGATCTCAGTAAGATATACGAGATATGGTGCTTCCATGACAAGTTTTGGTCATAAATAATATCCAACTTTTCTCTGAGAAGCTGAAGGTGATAGGTCAATCATTTGGAACTAAAGTAGGAAACGTGACAATGGATCTGAGAAAGGGATTGGAACCAATAATAATGACCTCAGTTTTCATTGCTTTTAACTTTAATTTAATTAAGATAGCCCAAGCACTGATCCTATCTAGGCCTTCCTGAATGTAATAATAATAATACTTTATTTATTCTGGGACGAGTCCCTTTAGAATAATACAGGAAGACAGAAATGTGGGCTAAGGAGCCTCAGAGATACATAAATAAAAATACAGAGTAATTGAACAGTCTTGGTGAAAAAAAAAAAATATATATATACACACACAAATATACACATATACATTTAAGTTGCTTTCCAAGTTTGATCAGTTGATAATAAAAAATAGATAAAAACATTGGAGTAAATATAATGAAGAACGAACTAATAATTTATGTACATATTTACAGTAGTATCTATTTACAATTTTATGGGGACTGGATGAATAAGAAATGATTGAACAGGCGGGATTTAAAGGTAGGAAGGGTATTGGATTGACGAATGTGGGAAGGGATGGAGTTCCATAGGGATGAGGATCGGATAATAAACGATTTGTCGAAAGCAGCGGTTCGGTGGGCTCTTATGTATAAATCAGAAGACCGGAAACGAACAGAGGATTTGAATTGAAGGAGCTGGAGACGTATGAGGGACGGTGGGATTGGATGACTTGAAAGAGGAAGGATGCCAGGAAATACTTACGACGGTAGGAAGGATAAAACCACTTTATCTCCGCATAAAAATGGGAAACAGAGGCGTCCCTTGGGATCCCAAAGATGAATCGTACAAAGCAATTTATCAAATGTTTTAGTTTCGCCTCGATATCCCCAGAGAGGCCCCCATATACCGTACAGCAATAGTCAAAGTGGGGAAAAATTAAGGAAGTGACTAGGAGCCTACGGGTTTCAAAAGGAAATAGGTGACGGGAGTAATTTAGGCAAATACTTCTAATAATTCGGAAAGATAAGGATGTTAGAATACAATAACTTTTTAGTTGACTAAAAAAAAAAAGTGAAATGAAAGTGTAAAGTGCTACTATGGAAGAATGAGCTCTCAAAGCTAGATAAATACTCATTTACAAAATAAATATGAATTGAAAAAAAAATGTATCATATTTTTCTTTGTAAATAATAATTATTCTTTTCTTTTTTTTTTGTTTATTGATTATCTAGTAGTTATAATCATTTAATAAATAATTATAACCACTAGTGTTATTTATTTTTTTGCAACTAATTGAACAAATAAGTTCTTCTATTTTTATTTTCCTTTTTTTTTATTTTTTTAATGTGTTGCTGTTTGGGTATTGTATCTTTATTTTCAGAACATTCTGTTAAAAATATTAAAACTAATTATACCTAGCTTTATATCATAATTTTGTAACTATTAATAAAGTTAACTCAATAATAAACAAAACTAATTATCTGATTGACATATTATAATAACAGTCCACTGATAAAATTTTTGTCATCTTATTACAAAATATTTGCTATAGCATTAGCTCAACCTGTCTATTAGATTTCTGAACTGTCCTGTTTTGAATTTGGACTCGTCCAATATCGTTTGAACCAGCACCCGTGATTGTCAATTAAAAAATTAATGTTTGTTACCTTAATATTATTTATATACATCATCAAGTAAAACACTCATAAATTAAGGCTTAAATAATAACATATAATTAATAACATTTTTTTCATTGCTGCATAATACCAATTAATTATTTAAAATATAAACATTTTTACAAAATCTATTTGAATAAATTATTATTCAAGTTCATATTCATATTCATTAAAATATGTTTATTCAAAATTATTATTCATATTCATATTATATGAAGATATATGTGAAATGCGATACTGCTAAAACATACTAACAAAAATATTAAAATTTTAGGTGCCCCTATTTACACATCTTTTCCTCATTTCTGGCAAGGTGATGCTACATTAAGACAGGATGTTGAAGGATTGAACCCTGACCCTAAAAAACACTACTCTTATTTTCAGATACATGAGGTAAGAATAAAAAATGCAATACAAAATTTAAAATACAAATTTACTTCACTGAATCATATAAGTCAGGTTAATGAAGATATGAAGATAATTCCAAATGATCAAACATGAAAAATAGCTTAAAATTTTCAAATTTGACGAATTTCCAAAACTTTAAAAATCTGTATCTCAAAACTTATTAAACTTACCTAACCTGTTTTTGTCTTGAATGGTAGCATGTTTAATATAGTTTAAAAATGTATAGAATGCTTTTTATCGAAAAAGTGCTCCTTCATGGTGAAAATGGGGAAAAAAACGAAAAACGTGCGGAATATAGCAGTTTTGGGGATTTTCAAAAGTGACTGTGGAGGGCTCCAAGATAGAAAACTTAGATTTTGTATCTCAGTCACATCCTATACAAGAAAAAAAAAAGAAACCTTCTACCCCCATTGTATGCAACTTAGATCCCCCTTTTCATGACAAAGTTACTGGGCCAGTAAATCATACCTAAATTATTGTTTATTCATCATTCAAATAAAATATTAATTATTTTAGTGCCTATTTCTGTATTAAAACTAATAATCATTTTATTAAGCAATATCAATGTAAATAGCAAAAACAAATTTAAATTCCAATTAAAAGTTAATTATTAATTTATTTTCATATCTTATTTCTTTGATATCTCAGAATTCAAACGTGATAAAGTGCAGTGTGGTGCCTCACAAGATTTCTTTTCTATTGAAAACTAACCTTCAGAACTCAGCTGAATGAAGGACTTGACCATACTCGATTGAGAGCATCACTTGATCAACTTCAACACCAGGCCTCTTTACTCCCTTGACTTACTGCCTACTTCCAACTGGCTTTGATGTGGGATGTTACTCAATACTGACTCACTTCAACCCAGATTCCACTTGACACTAGACATCTTTACTCCATTGGTCGTCACTGCAATGGGACTGAAATTGACAATAACTCACTGATATAGTATCCCAAGCCAAGAAACCATGCTTTTCTGCAAAAAACACCAAATATGCCAACATTGCCCATTATTTATTTTTTCTCATCTTGTAAACATTTAATTTTGTAATGTATTTTTCCGTTTAAATGAAATTTATTTTAATATAGAAAATTTGGTTTCTTTTTAAAGTTATTTTTAATTTAATAAGTAAAAAAAAAATCAGTTTTATTTTTAAAATGAAACTACTGTGTTCTATTATATTTACAAAAGTAAAAAACATCAAATGCTAAAATATTTTAATGATTTTTAAATTTGATATAATTAGCCAAGCAAAATTTTAAAATTATCTTTATTATTTTATCTAATCATTCACCGCTTCTTGCTAAAATTTAAATCAAATTATCAATATTATTAAATAAAATTCTTAAACATATATATATATATATATATATATATATATATATATAATTAATTTCGTTAAATGAATTTGAATGTTGTATGTATACATATGTTTATAGTTTCATGATGCAATATATATTTTAATTAAAATAAATTAATCTTATATCCAGAAATTAGGAATATGCTTGAGAGTGAGGACAAGATTTCAACTTAACATAGTTCTGAAGAAACCTATCCATGTCAATGAGTTATCAAAGCTGCCAAAAGAAGTTATCTTACCAGTCGGATGGTTAGATTATGTAAGTATATGTAGATGTCCACTGACTATAATGATATTTTCAATAATAAAAATTATTGAAAATATTCACATGTAATATTGTGGTAAAAAAAATTAATATTAAAATGTTTAGCACCATAATAAAAATGAAAAAATAATGAAGTAGATATACTTAATGCAGGAATCAATGAATGAAAGAAATGCAAAAAATTGGTTTCAAATTTTTCTATTCACTAATACATAAAAAATATTATTTTTGGTGCATGCTACACAATTTTTTAATTTTTATATTTCTAGAAGTTGAAAAATTATGCAATTTATCAACATAAATTATGGTGTTTATTTATTCAGTCATGTAAATATGTAATTACATTTTTGATAATATCTATTCTTAGGTTACTAGAACTTATCTTTAACCCTTCAACACATGGTAGCCTATGTGAGAGATCCAGCTTTACTTTTGATATATTTTATAAAAATATATGTATATTTGGTTAAATATAGTTCAATAATCTCATATTTAGACTGATAGCCTAAGTGCCATCCTTTCTTAGTACAAGGAGTCAGTTGATTCAATATGACTTTTTTTTTTTAACTTTAAGCTGGTTAATAAGTTATTTTAAATAATGGCGATCTCCCAGATACTTTTTAAGTGATCACAAAGGCAATTCACCCATGAGTAAGTATTACATTACTATGCTAATTAGAACTGTGTGCCAAGTTTTATCAAAAAGTGGTTCTAGAAAGTTAATATCCCTCCGCCTATGGAGGTAAAGCTTGTTTGCAACTAAGGAATCATCATTAGTCAACCACACAAAATTGTATTCTAAATTTCATCAACGGAGTTGAACTTTGGTGCTCTACCAAATCATCGAATTCCTATTGTATCCAATCCTTACAATCCAAAATCCTTAATGCCCAATTTTTTGTCACAAATAATACCATTCATAAAGACCTTAATGTTCCATATGCCACTGATTTAGCCCGAGCAAGATACTTATCCTTTCATGATAAACTCCAGTCCCATCTGAATCCACTTGTTTCCAACCTTGCTTCTTCGTCGATTCCTGATAATTCCCCTAGGCGTCTGAAAAGAAGATGGCCTCTTGATCTTCTTACCTAGAATTCAATAGGGAGTGCTACCACTGGGCAGTATTTCTTCAAGTCTGTTCATGTCATTATTTCTAATGTGTGCATTTTTACTGGTTGTATTTTTTATACAGTTGTAAATGTCATCAAATAAATAATAAAAAAAAAAGTTTTATCAAATTTAACAGCATCGTTCTGTTATGCTGATGCAAGAAAAAGAGTTCTGGTAGAGGCTGTGATACCTAATGAAAGGTATATTTATTATCAAATTTGGCTGTCATAAAATATTATTTAAAACTGATAAAAGATGAAATTTTGGAGAAATGAAAAATACCACTACAATGTAGTATCTATATTTTACACTGTCACCTTTAATAAATATATTTATGAAAATATTTATTATTTGTTTGTTTCAGGATTCAGGAGATTTGTCTGAACCATTTATCAATACATTATATCATCTAACCTATACAGTTAGGATTGTAGAAGAAGTTTTAAAGTGGTTACTCTTATCAATAACCATTGGTTCATTGACATTTTTGCTCTTAGAAGTTAAAAAATGTATAAAGAAGTAATTTTCATTAATTTAGGAAATGTTCTTTTGTAAATATTATTTAGCGATGTTAAATAATAATCTTGTATAAGACTGCAATATTAAAGTCCATACATGTTAGGCTGTATGCTGATTTGATAGATAGGAATATTTTTCTGTAATATAGATATGAAATAAAAGTATATTTACTAATATTAATAAAAAAAATAACTAGTTTAAATATATTGGTTAAATTATTAACTTATAAATTGTGAAAATTATTCCTTTTTAGGTATAAATAATGTAATTTCATAGTTCCTAAATTACAGTCACTGTTATAAACATAAGTGCCACATGATTTAATATTTTTATCTATATTTCTGCTATATATTGTAATCTCATAGTAGGCATACATGTAATGATAGTTATTTGTTTTTAAAGACACAATTTATTTGAAGAATGAATGTGATCTATATTTTATACAGTTGTGAATATATTAAGTGAAAATGATTTCTTACTAGTAATATATTTTATAAGTCATATAGTTTTGTAACTGAATGAACTGATGGATAAATAATAATACCTGAATTCCCTTTGTCAAACAAAAAAATTCTAAATGGTCCTTGGAGACTGAACTTTTTTATTTAATAATAGTAGATATATTCAATTATATATATGAACATTAAACTAATTATATATAAAATGAATAATAATGAGAAAATAATTTATTTTTTTTAGTTAATCTTGAAAATTTAAAAAAAAAAATACAGTTTATTTATTAAAATTTTATGTCCATCAAAATGACCATCAGAGAAATTTAATAAAATATATAGTAAAATTTGTTATAGCTAAATAGCCATTTTCTTAAATAACTAACCTTTTAAAAAATATATATTCAATCATACTACCAACCAATGATACAACATATTTTAGCAATATTATTCAAATTTAGAAATATTTTATAATATTAAATGTATATTTTAATTTATTTATTAATTTATAAACAATTTGTAACATTACCTATGAAAATGTTATTGTCACTAGGTTTTGTTAGTTTTTTTCTTATACTACCAGAATCAGGTATTGTTTAAACCATAATTATACTTAATTGTTATGCTCAACTAGTCTTTGTTTAATTATATACATGTTGAATACAAACTTTATATACCTGAACTGTAAATAGTAAATAAATGGTTATTATCTGTAAATATATATTATTTTTATCAAATTCAAATACTAATAAAAAACACATATTTAAGTCTTAGCTGATATAATTTTATGAGATACAGATGGTATAATAGTGGTTAGATGTTATAAATAAATATTTAATAATAATTCCATCAGAGATGGGCAAATGCTGCTGTGAATACAGAGTACCAAGTATTTTACTCAAGTTGAATCACTACTTCAGTTAACCATTTGAAATGAACTGAAGTAGTAATCAAATTCTTTGGAACTCAAAAAAGGTCAGTACTTGAGTAAAATACGTGGTACTCAGTACTCAGAGTAGCATTTACCCATCTCTGAATTCCATTGAATTATTTCAAATAATTTCCTATGACAAAAGTAGATTTAAACTATTAAACCATAAAACATACAGGATCTGACTACTGTGAATTATTAAACGTTTTACACTTTAACCAATAGATAAAATTAATCTTCACAGTCAATATCAAAATCTAAACGTCAACAAATTAATGGGCTTACAACAAACACCCACGATTTTACTCAAACTTATACTCCTTTTAATTATAAATTAAACCTCTGATTAATACATATTGAATTTAATACTGACTTTTGAAAGATACAATTCCACCTTATTTTCATTTTGGAATATTTTGTGTATAACTTATTATGCCAATCCCTTCCATGGATGTCAGGGATTTTGACAAAATAATTATGCTTTAATATCTGGTACATAATTTAGTGTTGTGGACTGTAAACATATTTATTTGTGTTCTTAATAAATGTTAATATAAAATTGATTGCTTTATTTTAGGTAGTTTTGGAATTTACACAATTTTTAAATTTAGGTGGGTTGGAATACTTGCGATTTTCCGTTCTTCTATTGGTCATTCTTTTTGTTCATTCTTCTTTGTTCTTCCTTTCTTGAACCCTTGCCTTGCCGGCCACTGCGGTTTTTTACAATGTTTAGGAAATCATTAGAATTCTTAATTTTCTTACAGGCCAGCCTAGCCTAGTGAGTGTTTTACTCTGCATGAGAATCTAAGCTTCAGTAATGGCAGACTCTGCCTAACATCTGAGATATATAGTCAGCATTCTCGAGATCGAAGCTGTGTTGTTTTACTCTTCATTTAATTCAAATGGGAAGTTTGCTGTGTTCCCTTAACATTTTGTTTTTTAAAAATGTGTCAAGCGTTTTGAAAAATAACGGAATTTGGTTAGAGAGAAGTCTGCTGAACACGGTGGATGTGGTATGTATTTTAATTACTTTCCCAATTAATCAATACTAAAAATTAAAATAAAAATAAGAAAATTTGTTAAATGAGTTATATATTTTCAATAATTACACTACCACCAGTACTAAATTATTCAAATTAAAAAGCTACTTACATACAAACTAGAATGCTATTTTTATTAAAACCAATTTTGGGCTGTGAACTTGGAGGATTAACAAGAAAAACTGATGAAGATTAATAGTGTAATAAGTACCAAATAAATTATTATTAGAGTGAATATATTAAAAAAATTATGTATCTCAAATTTTTCATTATCCTTAACAACACTTGGAATTCTTTATTGATGATGTTCAGCTATCATTAGAAATACAAACACAAAAATTTATCAGATGTGCTTTCATTGAACACGTATTTCTCATGACATGGTTATGGACGACTGATGTACTATAACGTCTGCCATCAATCCCTGGGAGTTATAATTTTACTATACTTTTTTCTTTAGTTTTGAATGTTAATCCAATTAATTTACAAAATAATTATTTTATTACCTAATTTCATTATTTAAAAATAATTTGTCTCTTGTTTTTTAACTTCAATATTAATAAATATTTTATTGAATTTCATTGGGAAATCCAATGTTAATTTGAAAAACAATTGCAATAAATATTTAGATTTTATAAGTCTGAACTAATAATTATTATTGCATTTTAGCAATCCAATACTAACTATTTAATATATTTTCTATTTTTGATGATTTATAGTGGCATAGAGTAAGCTAAAATTTATCAACCAAACATTATTACCTTGTGCTTAACTTAATAGTAAGTTAAATAATGTACCTTGTACTATAAATATCCTTAGATTTGCATATTTCTTTATTAAAATTAAAAAAATATTTTTTTTGTGAACAGAATGAAATAATTATTTTTTTTTAAACCAAAATATAGGTAGAGCACCAATAGAACTAGAATTGACAATAAAAAGAATTTGATTTCTTCTTTTTATTTTTGTTGGGAAATTTTAGTTTATCCAAGTGAAGTTGAAAAACATAACTTAAACTTTTTATTGTCAAGTGTAATCAATTGTTGGTCAAAATAAATGTTTTATTATTATTTTTAATTTTAAATTAAATAAACAGGATGTATTTAATTTAAAAAAAAAAAACAATATTTATTCAATGAAAAATGGAGCAAACCATAACCATCTCAGTTTCCTCTTTTCGACTGTATCCCTCGAAGTAGGAACTCCCAGTTCCCCCATATTCTCTCATTCCTAAATCTATCTCTTCTTGTCTTACCTGCCACTCTCTGAAGCTACTTCATATCCGCAGCTACAGCTCTACTTCAATGCCTGTCCAGCGGGATCCAATAAATCTGCCATTTATTTTTTCCTTAGAGATGCGATATTTAGATTTTATGGCAGTTATTAATTCAGGGGACATTTTCAGTGGCTATAATGCTGCCCATATTTCTTATCATATAAATTTTAATATAAATACAGGATTTTCAATATAAATTGCCTCAATTGCTTTCAGGCTAACTTCTATAGTTTTACCACCTGCTAATGCTTTTTAAGTTTGACATGACAGATGTAGCTGACAAGCAGCAAAATCTTGAGTTTTACAGACAGTACCTTCTGTTTAATACTCTTATTCATAGTCATAAACATGAAAAAAAGAATTGTAATATAAGGGTAATAATGTTTGTTATACAAAGATAAACTATATTTGTATGGGGTTCTTTCCACAAAACAAAGAAAGATTAAAATAATTATTCAAAAGTTAGGTTAGATTTCAAGGAACTCTACTTGATATCAATTTTTCTCCTTATAAGTAGAATAATATTCATTTACAGTTAGTTGATAATGTGTTCAATATCTATTTCCAAGATATGGACTCATACAAACCAAGTGAAATCATTGATGTGATTATGGTGTTATAAGAAATTCGTGGGTATTGTCATGGCATTGTTACTAAGTTATGCTTTGCGCTATCCACAAAAGAACAAGTCATCTTATAAAAACAATACTAAAAGTCACTAAAAATGGCAGGGCAGGTTATTGTATGCACAGGTGAAAAGAAGCCCACAAATTAGTAGCGAGGAAAACTGCACAATAAAAAAATGAATCTTAGGAAGTCATGAAACTAAAATTTGAGAAAATGTTTCTTTTGTCAAATTAAAAAATCTATATGTTATGAATTCATACGAAAAATAATTTTGATGGCTATGAGAAAATCACTTAAAAGATTTGTTTCTTGAGCTGGTGCTCAACTGTAACAACTTGCAATGGAATCCTCACCAATGAAGCAGAAAACAACAGTTTTCATAGCCGGGGATCATCATCATATAAATATTAAACTCACACAGACCTACACAAGGCTAGTAATGTTATATCCTATCAACTTCCTATCCTAAAACCAAATAAAACTGTACTAATTTACAATACATTATTAAGGCCATTCATTAGTGCTGTACAATTGTGAAGAGTGGGGAGCAGCATCATGTACAAAATAAAAAATATTATGAACTTTTCTAAATAAGATCCTAAGAACTGCAGTAGATGCCCCTTGGTTTGTTAGAAATAGTTAACTGCAAGAAGAAACTATAGATGCGTTTATTAAAAA